AACTGCGGATGCCGGATGCCGGGCAGCAAGCAACGGGGCGAAGATGAGATTAGACGGAAAGGATTAAGAGCTTGACGGTACACTGGCATAGAAATGAATGAATGAATGAGTGTAAGCAATTGATTGAGCGTTTCGTTGAGATTGCGTTAAGTTGCGTTAGGTTGCGTTACTTCATTCATTTTGCGCTTCGTGACATGATTGATTCCGTCTTCGTCTGTCTTCACCTAGGCCTGTCTTCACAGTTCGCACGAAGGACGTCGCGAGGCACATTGCAGAGTGATAGATACATCGGCCCGTGACAGGTTTGTGGCAGGGCACAGCAGATTACGCCCCACCGCCGGGGCGCCCGGCATAATCACGCTGATATCGCTGCTGCAAATGCTTCCAGTTAACGATCATGCTTCCAACTTCCAAGTTACCCTTCCCCGACGTGTATTATGTAGGCAGTGGCTGTCCCGGCGAAAACTCGCCACGTTGCGCAGTCTGCTGTGGGCGCCAAGGAAATAACTCGCTGGATATTCGTTATCCTGCCCTGTTATCGTTGTGCGCCGTTATCCACGGGAAGAGGGGGCCGGATGCATATGAGCGAAAGGCCGAGGAGCGGGGAGGGAAAGGCAGGAGGAGGGGAGTCTCAGGTACCATCCACACGGGGAGCGAGGAGCGAGGAGACACCTGCAAAAAGCGGTTTGGCCCGGCAATCGCACGGCGCGGATTGCAACGCCCAAAGGAGCTCATGCCTTAATGGAGCCTGATCGCCTCCTCACACCTCGCGAAGATTGACAACACGGATCAAACCCGGCTTACAACGGCCGCCTCCGCCTGATATATCATATAATCCACGCTGTCCTGTCTCCGCCTTGGATCCACGTCGTCGTCTCGCCTGCGTCCTTCCTCGACCTCGCTGCACCGTTGTGCCCCGCGCACCCTTGAGCTAGCCAGCCGTCCCTACCTGCGTCCTTAACTGCACGCACCCGACGATGTTCATCCTCCCCGCCGCCGAAGCGCTCGCCGCCCCTTTCGACCTCGCCCCGTCGTCCTACGCCCACTCGCTCTCATCTTCGCTCTCATCTCACAGTGCACACGCATGGCTCGCCCCCCTCCGCCTCCCGCTCACCCTCCTCGCCACCCTCCTCGTGCTCGCCCTCGTGCGCTCCGTGCTCCGCTTCGGCCTCACGTTCTCCGGACGGCGGGCGTTTGCGCTGCCTATCGCTGAGAAGGGGAAGGTGGTCGCTGTGCCTGTGAAGGCGAAGGCGAAGGCGAAGGCTGCTACTACGGATGAGGAGAAATCGACATCGGTTATATCGGAAAAGCCCATCCCCGCCCCGCAGAAGAAGAGCACCCCGCCCCCACCGCCGCCATCGACCTCCTCCTGGCTCGGGCTCAAGCTCTCGTGGGAGACCCTGCCCACCACCACGGATAACAACTCGGACTCGACCTCCACGACGCACCCGCACACGCACAAACACACCCCCCGCCGCCCCGAAGCCGCCCTCGGCGCAAACGGGCGCAGGATGAGCGTGGACGCCCCGCTGCCCGCGATATATGCGCAGCCGCCCGTGTCGATGGCGAAGATGATTATGAGTCGGCATGTGCGTGCTTTCTTCCTTCCTTCATTGTCTCTTATCTTTTCGCTTTTATTTTCGCTTTTATTTTCGCTTTTTTCTTTCACTCGAGCTTTTCGTTCTGCGCTCGCTCCCCTCCTCGCGTCGTCGAGCGACGCACCACCCCCTCCCAAGCGGAGCGCGCGCCATTTTGGGGTGCCACGTCACCCTCCACTTAATGATGACGACATCATTCCTCATTTCTCCGTGCTTCCTTTCGTGCCATATGTCGGCATCTCCGCATTACGCCGTCTTATCGTCGGGCGTACATACGGGCGTAGACGTACGGGCGCAGGGGACGTGATAGATGCGTTCGAGCCGCCTTCCCATCTCTCCTCTTTATCCCCCCTCCTTTTCCTCGTCTCTTATCTTTCTCCCCCACCCACTCGTATCTCTTATCCTACCCCGCTTTACCTCTACTGATACCTCAACAGACATACCGCCGTCCCACCTCCCCCGCTCCCCCGCCAAAGCGCACGCCGTCACCGACGAGGTCGGGAGCGTTATAACCCCGATAAACCAAATGCACAATACACAGTACAAGATAACGGAACGAAAAGAAAGAAAGACGAGATTTTATGTATGTTATGATATCATGGAGGGAGGAGTCGGCTCCCCGCCCCCTCCCGCGTCCGGCGGTTGGCAACGGGGGGCAGCGCAAGGAGAGGAGGTCGTGGCCGGGGACGGGGACGGGGTGCGCGCCGCGTTGTGGAGGAAGAGTGGAGTCGAGGTGAGATGGGAGCAGCTTTGAAGTTTGAAGGAGGTTTGGAGATTGGAGATTGGAGATTGCAGTTTGGAGCACATTTGGAGCACGGACCCTTGCATTTATTCTTATACACTTTTATACGTTCTGTTCGCTTTTTGTTTTTTACGTGTTTTTACTAGAGAATTTTCGTTATCTGCATTTATGTAAGGTGTGGGGACGATGAGTAGTCCTTACCCGGAGAACTATGAGTGCTCTGGAGAGAATGAGCTAGTGAATGAGCTAGTGCTCTGGAGAGAATGAGCTAGTGCTCTGGAGAGAATGAGCTAGTGCTCTGGAGAGAATGAGTGCTCTGGAGAGAGATGGATTAGTGACTGTGATGAGTACTCGAGAGAGAAAAGGCGGAGGAACGGCAGGACGAGGAAAGTCAAAGCAGGAAGGAAGGATGGGTGAGCGGGATGGGTAACGGGGACAGGGAGCCGGATGTGGAAGGTGGGCTGCCTGATGCGGATACCGCACGCTATCGTCTTCGTGGACTAGCAACAGCAAATACCCACCACGCTTGTTTCCTCCCTTTCCACGAGCGGCGACCTGCGGCGACCCAGCAATTATTATCGAGTGACACCCCCTCCACCCTGCTGCTGTTCTGATTACATCAATATCCTTTCTCCCCTTGTGTTCTCCTTTTGTCGCTGAGTGATTTGTGGGAATGAAACCATTATCAAAACCTGTGTTTTCGTCTCAAGCGACTGTCAGGAAAGCGGGATCAAGTTTCTGGAAATCAACGGTAAAGTTATATGTATCATATTGCTGGCCCATTACCCCGCACTAATTTCTCTTCCTCCTCATTGACACCCCCTCGAAACCTTGATTTCAAAAGCAGCATGGTGTATCGCTGCACGTGGGGGTTCCTTTGTACTCCAATCGACAACCAGTCACCCCGAGGTCCTCGTTCGATTCGAGGTGCTGCTGTGTGCAGGACAAGAGACGTTTTTTCTTATTCTTGCAGACTTCTCGCGTTGATATCTTACCTGGTGTCCGCACATCAGGGCCAAGTCATCGGCCAATTGTTCTTGTCGATTCCAAAAGACCGGAATTCTCAACAGGCCTGGCTTTAATTTACACATTGAATGCTTGTTCTCTACCGGTGATCCGTCGCCGTGAATACTCGTCGCTTCGCAATTTCCTTTGGTCCTCTATGCCGGGTTGAAAACGTCCTCACTCCGGAGTTTCTCTGCAGGTAATCAGCCAATGATTCTGGGCGCCCCACTTCGCATGGGGCACTTATTAGGGTCGTTCACAGTTCTCCTTTTTTCTTCCCTTTTTCTTTCCCTTTTTTCGTACTTTTTGATTTTCTTTGTTTTTTTCCGGATTTTTTTTCCCTTTTCAACTTAGGGATGTAAAAAGGGTAGAAAAGGGAAGAAACAGCGACTCTAGGTGCAAAACTCATGGAAATGGGAGATTGGTGAAACGAAAAAGGGAAAGAAAAAGGGAGAACTGTGAAACCCCCCTCTGGGTTTCCCTTTTTTGTTTCCTTTTTGTTGTCCTTTTTTTTCAGTCTTGCTGGTATTTGTGGTATCTAATTGCCCACTAACTTACCTACAAGGGTGGGAGGTACCCAGTATAGTGTAGCTGTCGGTTTGATGGGCTCAAATCTATGTAAATATATTGTACATCCTTGTTCTGGCTCAACGGGGAAAAGGGAACAAGAAAGGGCACAAAAAAGGGAAGGAAAAAGGGTGGAGAAAAGGGAACTGTGAATAACCCTAATGTTTCTTCGACCCCATTCACTTGAACACAAGCCTTTAAAAGCAGTATGGTGTATCGACGCACACGGGACTTCTTTATTTCGGCGTCTACGAAGAGGTCACCCTGAGGTCCTCGTTCGATTCGAGGTGCTGCTGTGAACGAGCTAAACAGAGCCTTTTCTTTTCTGGCGCAATGTACTCTTCTCGCGTATTTTCCTCCTTCTCTTCCACCTCAACCGTTCCAAAACGAGGTTTTAAAAGCAGCATGGTGTATTGCCGCACACAGGGGGTTCTTGGTGCTCCAAAGTGAAAGTAGTCACACCGAGGTTCTCGTTCGATTCGAGGCGCTGCTGTTCTGAAAGAAGTTGAATTCTTGTGTTTTTTCCCCTGGTGTTCTCACTGGTTGAACATTTCAAGTTTTTCGGTGAAACAATTGGTGAAAAGTAGTTTGAGTTTTACACAAATTTGTCCCCGAGAAAGTAGGTGAAACATTTAAAACTTCTTCACCACTTTCTAACTTTGTTTTGACCTTATTCCTCGGCCAGTTCATGTTGGAACCGCTCTGTGAATATTTCTGGCACCTCGCCAACTCGGACACGAGGTTTTAAAAGCAGCATGGTGTATCGTTGCACACGGGGGTGTCTTGTCAATGAATTCCTGCTGATGGAATACTCACTCCGGGGTCCTCGTTCGATGCGAGGTGCTGCTGTGAGAAAACTAGGATGTCTTTTTACCTTCTTCCTTGTGTTCTCCTTTTGTTGCTGATCATGAGTGGTTTATGAGCTTGAAATCATTATCAAAGCCTGTGTTTTTGTGTGAAGCGACTGTCAGGAAAGTGGGATCAAGTTGTCTGGAAATCAACGGTCAAGTTATATGTATCATATTGCTGGCCCGTTACCCTGCACTAATTTCTCTTCCACCTCACCCATTCCAATACTAGGTTTTCAGAGCAGCATGGTGTATGGCCTCATGCGGGGCTTTCTTGCAGCCGAATCCCATCGTAACCTAGTCATCCCGAGGTCCTCGTTCGATTCGAGGTGCTGCTATTGCGGAAAACAAATGATTTTTCTGTTCTTTTTGGCTGCACTGAGGGTGATCTTTAACATCATTCTAGTCCATCTGGCTGTTTACTACTGTCGTGTTTTTGCTCTCGGAACTCCTCAGGAATCCTTTCAGTAAGCCTGTGCTGCACTGTGTATTACTGTCACACTGTGGCAACTCACCTGGCATTGGAACCTTCATTTCAACACAGGGTGGTGTAGGCCGCACATGGGGGTTTCTTAGCTTCCCTGTCTACGGAATACTGTCCCGAGTTCGCTTGCTTCCTCTCCTTGTAGTGTGGGTTGCATATAGTTCCGGACTATCCGATAGCATCTGGCACTTGCAATTTTTCTTGCACCTCACCAGCTCAAAAGTAAGTTTTCAAGAGCAGCATGGTGTGTGGTGCACGCGGGGCTTTCTTGACCGTTAGTGAAACTGTCACTCCGAGGTCCTCGTTCGATTCGAGGCGCTGCTCTTAGCGCTGAGAATTAAACTTTTTTTTCTTTCTTTTTAGTGCATCAAGGGCCGATGTTTGTTGGTGTTCATCCCATCCTAGTTCGCCCGGCCAAATTGTTCATCACTGCCACGTTTTTGCTCTCGGAACTCCTCGGGAAGTTAGCCTGCGCTGTGCGGTTGATTTCTCTTTCACCTCACCTCCCCGAAAATGAGGTTTCAACAGCAGCGTGGTGTATCGCCGCATACGGGGGGTTTCCTAGTGCTCCATAGTGAAACTAGTCACCCCGAGGGCCTCGTTCAATTCGAGGTGCTGCTGTGTGCAAGGCATGCAAGGTTTTTGGTTTTTGTTCCTTTTGTTCTTTTTTTTCGAAGGCCCTTGAAGTTATGTAGTGTTCATTTCATCCCAGTCCTCCTCGCTGAGCTGTTCATTACGCCAAACCCATTCTCAAAGCCCGTGTTTTGGTCTTATGTGATTGTCTGGACAGTGGGTGGGATCAAATATATCGGCCAATAGTCCTGGATTATCAGCCTGTGCTGCTGTCAATTTCTCGTGCACTTCACCCAAGATTGGAACATTGGTTTCCCAGCAGTATGGTGTATTACTGCACACGGGTGTTTCTTCTGCCTGGATCCACGCTGATTAAATACTCAGCCCGAGGTCCTCGTTCGATTTGAGGTGCTGCTATGTGAAGTTGGCCAAAGAAAGTTATTTTCCCCCCTTGTTCCTTTTCTATTTCTTGAGCTCTTCTCGTGTTGATATCTTACCTGGTATCTTCATATCGAGGCCGAGTTATTGGCCGGTATTTCTAAACTACCGGTGCGCTGTAACTGTTAACATGCATTGGCAATTTCACTTCCACCTCACCAACTCAAATACAGGGGTTAAAAGCAGTATGGTGTATGACCAGCGCACACGGGGGTTTCTTGACACCATTCCAAGCAGTCATGCCGAGGACCTCGTTCGATTCGAGGTGCTGCTCTGGGGGGTTTATGAGAATTTTTTTTCCTCTTTCTTTCTCCATTTCTTGCGCTCTTCTCCCGTATGACTACCCTACACTCCCTCTGGCAACACTTTCTGATCGTAGAAAATCGGGACCGCATGGGAAATATCTTAACCTGAAATCTTGCTGCACAGTGAATTTCTCTTTCACCTCACAAACAAGGTTACAACAGCAGCATGGTGTATCGCCGCACACGGGGTTTTCTTGATGGGGGCACAATGGAAACTAGTCACCCTGAGGTCCTTGTTCGATTCGAGGTGCTGCTATTCTGAAAACATTGATATCCTTTTTTCCCCTTGTATCCTCCCTTTGTTGCTGAGTGGTTTATGAGTTTGCAACCATTATCAAGGCCTGTGTTTTCGTCTCAAGCGACTGTCAGGAAAGCGGGATCAAGTTGTCTGGAAGTCGGCAAGAATTATCGAACACCAGTTCTAACTTCTAATTAGTCTGTGCTGGGTATTTCCCTTTCACCTCACCTACTCTAAACTTTGCTATTAAAAGCAGCATGGTGTATTACGGCATGCAGGGTTTTTCTTGACGCGGAATGAGAAACAGTTACCCCGAGGTCCTTGTTCCATTCTTAGTGCTGTTCTTAGTGCTTGAAATTCAACTTTTTTTCTTTCTTTTTTGTTGCATTGAGGCCGATGTTTGTCAACATCCATTTCATCCTGGTTCGCCTGGCCGAGTTATCTATTACTGCCATGCTTTTGCTCTCGGAACTCCTCGGGAATCTCTTCCGTAAGCCTGCACTGTGTGGTTGTTTTCTCTTTCACTTTGCCCACCGGAAAGTAGGATTTCAAGAGCAGCATGGGCTATCGATGCACACAGGGTTTTCTTGAATTCGACGTCCATGGAATACAAAATGTCTTTTTCCCCGCCTCGGTATGCTGGAATCATGCTCGTGCCAGAATCTCGTTTAAACAGGGCCTGCAAGTTATCGGCCTGGATGCTCCAAATTTCGTTCAACTTCCCCCACTTGGAAACGAGCAGTATGATGTATGGCCGCAGACGGGGATTTCTTGGCTTCCATGTTCATGAAAAAGTCGCCCCGGAGTCCTCGTTCGAATCGAGGTGCTGCCGTTCCCACTCCGGTGATTCTTTTCCTCCCAATTGTATTCTCCTCCAGATCTTTTCCAGATCTAGCGCCGTGAATGCACTGGACATTTCTTAGGCGACTGTATGGATGGCGGGATCAAGTTATCTGGGAAATAATTTTCCGCCAATAGTTCTGCTACGCTGTAAATTTCCTTCCACCTCACCCACTCGAAAACAAGGTTTCAAAAGCAGTATGGTGGCTGGCCACACACGGGGGGTTTGTTGCGTGAGGCTACGGATGAATAATCACCCCGAGGTCCTCGTTCGATTCGGGGTGCTGCTGTAACTGAGGAGGAAAATTGTTTTGTTATTGTTTATCTTTACTTTGCTTTTACTTTTTTTCCACTTCTCACTTACCAACCCCTCACCCTAGATCCTGGAGACCAAAATTCTGTGTGTTCACAAGGTCTGTGACTGCCTGTGTATAGTATCTGCCTACGATCTGAACTATGCTTGACCTTCACCAACTCGGAAACAATGTTTTAAAAGCAGTATGGTGTATGGCCGCACACGGGGGTTTCTTGAAAAATTCAACATCCACGAAAAAGTAAACCCGAGGGCTTCGTTCGATTCGAGGTGCTGCTCTGGGAGTCTGGGATAGAAGGAAAGAGTTTTTTACCACCTAACCTACACAGTTACTTTCTCTTCCACCTGTCCAACTCGAAAATATGGTCTCGAAAGCAGCAGGGTGTATGACCGCACACGCGGGTTTATTCGTCGAGTCGAACTGATAACTAACCACCTCAAGGTCCTCGTTCGAATCGAGGTGCTGCTGTGCAGGACAAGAGACATTTTTCTTGTGCTTGCCACTACTCACGTTGATATCTTACCTGGTGTCTTCACATCGAGGCCAAGTTATCAACCAAGAGCCCTTGTCGATCCCAGGCAGATCAGAATTATTAGCATCATGGCCCTGGATAATGGATTTGGACTAACACATTGATGATTGAATGCTCTTTTCCCGAGTCCGGTGGACCGTCGTCTGACATGCTCGGTGCCGCGCAATTCCTCTATGCCGGGTGAGAACATCCTCACTCCGGAGTTTTGTTTGCTGAGGTCTGGAAGTTATCAGCCAATGATTCTGGGCGCTCACTTCGTGGCATGGGACACTTGTAATGTTTCTTCCACCCCATTCACTTGAACACAAGCTTTTGAAAGCAGTATGGTGTATCGACGCACACGGGACTTCCTTGGCGTCTACGAAGAGGTCACCCCGAGGTCCTCGTTCGAATCGAGGTGCTGCTGTGAACGACTCCCTAAACAGAGCCTTTTCGTTTCTGGCGCAATGTACTCTTCTCGCGTATTTTCCTCCTTCTCTTCCACCTCAACCGTTCCAAAACGAGGTTTTAAAAGCAGCATGGTGTATTGTCGCACACAGGGGGTTCTTGGTGCTCCAAAGTGAAAGTAGTCACACCGAGGTTCTCGTTCGATTCGAGGCGCTGCTGTTCTGAAAGAAGTTGAATTCTTGTGTTTTTTCCCCTGGTGTTCTCACTGGTTGAACATTTCAAGTTTTTCGGTGAAACAATTGGTGAAAAGTAGTTTGAGTTTTACACAAATTTGTCACCGAGAAAGTAGGTGAAACATTTAAAACTTCTTCACCACTTTCTAACTTTGTTTTGACCTTATTCCTCGGCCAGTTCATGTTTGAACCGCTCTGTGAATATTTCTGGCACCTCGCCAACTCGGACACGAGGTTTTAAAAGCAGCATGGTGTATTGTTGCACACGGGGGTGTCTTGTCAATGAATTCCTGCTGATGGAATACTCACTCCGGGGTCCTCGTTCGATTCGAGGTGATGCTCTGAGACACATTCACCCCGTCTACTTTTTCTTGTGACAGCTATTTCTTTTAAACCTCACCCGTTCCAATACTGGGCTTTAACAGCAGCATGGTGTGTCACCGCACACAGGGTTTCATTACGCCGGAGCAATACAAATAAATACTCACCCCGAGGTCCTCGTTCGATGCGAGGTGCTGCTGTGAGAAAACTAGGACGTCTTTTTACCTTCTTCCTTGTGTTCTCCTTTTGTCGCTGATCATGAGTGGTTTATGAGCTTGAAATCATTATCAAAGCCTGTGTTTTTGTGTCAAGCGACTGTCAGGAAAGTGGGATCAAGTTGTCTGGAAATCAACGGTCAAGTTATATGTATCATATTGCTGGCCCGTTACCCTGCACTAATTTCTCTTCCACCTCACCCGTTCCAATACTAGGTTTTCAGAGCAGCATGGTGTATGGCCGCATGCGGGGCTTTCTTGCAGCCGAATCCCATCGTAACCTAGTCATCCCGAGGTCCTCGTTCGATTCGAGGTGCTGCTATCACAGAAAATAGATGATTTTTCTGTTCTTTTGGCTGCACTGAGGGTGGTCTTTAACATCATTCTGGTCCATCTGGCTGTTTACTACTGTCGTGTTTTTGCTCTCGGAACTCCTCAGGAATCCTTTCAGTAAGCCTGTGCTGCACTGTGTATTACTCAAGTATTACTGTCACACCGTGGGCAACTCACCTGGCGGCATTGGAACCTTCATTTCAACACAGCATGGTGTAGGCCGCACATGGGGGTTTCTTAGCTTCCCTGTCTACGGAATACTGTCCCGAGTTCGCTTGCTTCCTCTCCTTGTAGTGTGGGTTGCATATAGTTCCGGACTATCCGATAGCATCTGGCACTTGCAATTTTTCTTGCACCTCACCAGCTCAAAAGTAAGTTTTCAAGAGCAGCATGGTGTGTGGTGCACGCGGGGCTTTCTTGACCGTTAGTGAAACTGTCACTCCGAGGTCCTCGTTCGATTCGAGGCGCTGCTCTTAGCGCTGAGAATTAAACTTTTTTTTCTTTCTTTTTAGTGCATCAAGGGCCGATGTTTGTTGGTGTTCATCCCATCCTAGTTCGCCCGGCCAAATTGTTCATCACTGCCACGTTTTTGCTCTCGGAACTCCTCGGGAAGTTAGCCTGCGCTGTGCGGTTGATTTCTCTTTCACCTCACCTCCCCGAAAATGAGGTTTCAACAGCAGCGTGGTGTATCGCCGCATACGGGGGGTTTCCTAGTGCTCCATAGTGAAACTAGTCACCCCGAGGGCCTCGTTCAATTCGAGGTGCTGCTGTGTGCAAGGCATGCAAGGTTTTTGGTTTTTGTTCCTTTTGTTCTTTTTTTTCGAAGGCCCTTGAAGTTATGTAGTGTTCATTTCATCCCAGTCCTCCTCGCTGAGCTGTTCATTACGCCAAACCCATTCTCAAAGCCCGTGTTTTGGTCTTATGTGATTGTCTGGACAGTGGGTGGGATCAAATATATCGGCCAATAGTCCTGGATTATCAGCCTGTGCTGCTGTCAATTTCTCGTGCACTTCACCCAAGATTGGAACATTGGTTTCCCAGCAGTATGGTGTATTACTGCACACGGGTGTTTCTTCTGCCTGGATCCACGCTGATTAAATACTCAGCCCGAGGTCCTCGTTCGATTTGAGGTGCTGCTATGTGAAGTTGGCCAAAGAAAGTTATTTTCCCCCCTTGTTCCTTTTCTATTTCTTGAGCTCTTCTCGTGTTGATATCTTACCTGGTATCTTCATATCGAGGCCGAGTTATTGGCCGGTATTTCTAAACTACCGGTGCGCTGTAACTGTTAACATGCATTGGCAATTTCACTTCCACCTCACCAACTCAAATACAGGGGTTAAAAGCAGTATGGTGTATGACCAGCGCACACGGGGGTTTCTTGACACCATTCCAAGCAGTCATGCCGAGGACCTCGTTCGATTCGAGGTGCTGCTCTGGGGGGTTTATGAGAATTTTTTTTCCTCTTTCTTTCTCCATTTCTTGCGCTCTTCTCCCGTATGACTACCCTACACTCCCTCTGGCAACACTTTCTGATCGTAGAAAATCGGGACCGCATGGGAAATATCTTAACCTGAAATCTTGCTGCACAGTGAATTTCTCTTTCACCTCACAAACAAGGTTACAACAGCAGCATGGTGTATCGCCGCACACGGGGTTTTCTTGATGGGGGCACAATGGAAACTAGTCACCCTGAGGTCCTTGTTCGATTCGAGGTGCTGCTATTCTGAAAACATTGATATCCTTTTTTCCCCTTGTATCCTCCCTTTGTTGCTGAGTGGTTTATGAGTTTGCAACCATTATCAAGGCCTGTGTTTTCGTCTCAAGCGACTGTCAGGAAAGCGGGATCAAGTTGTCTGGAAGTCGGCAAGAATTATCGAACACCAGTTCTAACTTCTAATTAGTCTGTGCTGGGTATTTCCCTTTCACCTCACCTACTCTAAACTTTGCTATTAAAAGCAGCATGGTGTATTACGGCATGCAGGGTTTTTCTTGACGCGGAATGAGAAACAGTTACCCCGAGGTCCTTGTTCCATTCTTAGTGCTGTTCTTAGTGCTTGAAATTCAACTTTTTTTCTTTCTTTTTTGTTGCATTGAGGCCGATGTTTGTCAACATCCATTTCATCCTGGTTCGCCTGGCCGAGTTATCTATTACTGCCATGCTTTTGCTCTCGGAACTCCTCGGGAATCTCTTCCGTAAGCCTGCACTGTGTGGTTGTTTTCTCTTTCACTTTGCCCACCGGAAAGTAGGATTTCAAGAGCAGCATGGGCTATCGATGCACACAGGGTTTTCTTGAATTCGACGTCCATGGAATACAAAATGTCTTTTTCCCCGCCTCGGTATGCTGGAATCATGCTCGTGCCAGAATCTCGTTTAAACAGGGCCTGCAAGTTATCGGCCTGGATGCTCCAAATTTCGTTCAACTTCCCCCACTTGGAAACGAGCAGTATGATGTATGGCCGCAGACGGGGATTTCTTGGCTTCCATGTTCATGAAAAAGTCGCCCCGGAGTCCTCGTTCGAATCGAGGTGCTGCCGTTCCCACTCCGGTGATTCTTTTCCTCCCAATTGTATTCTCCTCCAGATCTTTTCCAGATCTAGCGCCGTGAATGCACTGGACATTTCTTAGGCGACTGTATGGATGGCGGGATCAAGTTATCTGGGAAATAATTTTCCGCCAATAGTTCTGCTACGCTGTAAATTTCCTTCCACCTCACCCACTCGAAAACAAGGTTTCAAAAGCAGTATGGTGGCTGGCCACACACGGGGGGTTTGTTGCGTGAGGCTACGGATGAATAATCACCCCGAGGTCCTCGTTCGATTCGGGGTGCTGCTGTAACTGAGGAGGAAAATTGTTTTGTTATTGTTTATCTTTACTTTGCTTTTACTTTTTTTCCACTTCTCACTTACCAACCCCTCACCCTAGATCCTGGAGACCAAAATTCCGTGTTTGCAAGGTCTGTGACTGCCTGTGTATAGTATCTGCCTAGGATCTGAACTACGCTTGACCCTCACCAACTCGGAAACAATGTTTTAAAAGCAGTATGGTGTATGGCTGCACACGGGGGTTTCTTGAAAAATTCAACATCCACGAAAAAGTAAACCTGAGGGCTTCGTTCGATTCGAGGTGCTGCTCTGGGAGTCTGGGACAGAAGGAAAGGGTTTTTTACCACCTAACCTACGCAGTTACTAGGGTACGCGGGATGGGCACGGGTCAATTTTTGATCAACTGTGCGTGGGTTCAATTCTCCGGAGAGGTAGTTATTCTTTTTTTATTTACTGTGTATGTAGATAGTACATGTAGTCCATTCTTTTACAGTTCTCCTTTGTCTACAGCATGGATTTTGATACTGAAGCATGTTATACATCATAATTCTCTATGACTGCAGACATCTTTGGAAAAACTGCCCAAGCAGTCTCCAAATCCATTTTTGGGCTTCCGATACCTGCCCATGCTGCCTCAGCTATAGCTTTAAATTCAGCCGTCACCCCAGGCCATCCAAGATGGCTTTCCCTTGACCCAACCTCCTCTGTCAAGTAATCACGAAGCTCTGCAATAGCCTCCTTTGGGACACGAATTCAACAATCTATTCCACTGAAATGGGTAGGATGTTCATACGCATGAGCTGGTACATGGGCAGAAGGCATGTTCTTGTCTCTCTGTAATCGTACACGATTATGATTCCACCATGCTCTGAACTCATCCAGTTCACACTGAATCAATGGCACAAAAATCCAATAAAACAGCGGTCTGAAAAGCATCAATATCATAGCAGTGAGCCAAGCATAAATTCTTACATATGAAAGGTGACATTGGAATCAAATATCCGCTCTTGCTTACCGCATATAATTACAGCCTTCAAGTTCAAGCCCATTTTCGTCTTCAGCCACCGCCAAAAGCCTTCAATAATTGTGTTGTGGACACTTTTGAGGACCATGTAGACGGCGTAGACATGTGGATCGATATTTGGTGCAAAATATTGACTGTGTTGTATAGAGCCAAAAGTTAATGATCTTGTAACAGGAAAGATAAGTGCAACGAACCGCAGTGTTGACATCCAATCTCAGAACCCTTGTCCGTTGTGAGCTGGATTGGAATGCCTAGTATACCATTGCTGATTAATCTATACCAAAATAATAAATAGCAAGACATACATCCTGTTTCCTCCACAAAATCCAAGAACAGATGCCCCATTGCTGCTGCTGCTGTCCGAGAATTCAGAACAAGGGTGAGCCAAGGAAGGTCATCGGAGAACCGCGAGCAAATTTATCTTGAGCTGCAGCGTCTCGCCATTGCAGGTTACTTTCTCAAAGCTTTTTCTTCTTGTACTCGACGCTGTGGGGTCAATGTTTACACTGGTAATGAAATAGCTATAGTGAACAACTTCAGATTGACCAGAGTTATGACAAAGAAAAGAATAGAAGCTACCTCTGGCTCGGAGAGGAGATCAATCATCTGAGCAAGGCATCAGGAACCACCCAAATTGATGACTCTCATGCAGGCATTACTTGGTTGGTTGAAACCAAACGCTCTACAATTGTTGAGCACTTTACTTTCACTTTGAACCACCAAAGCCGCCGTCATAATCTCTGTGCTAAAACAATTCATTCATTCGCACACTTTGTCTATGGCCATAGCAATAATTCAGTGGTACTTGCTGATATCCAAAGTATTTATTGATCAATTTCCTCAAAATAACTGTACTGATACTTTTAGGCACACCCGCTCATATGCATGGAACTGACACATTGGTTCTTTTTGATCCCATGACGCACACCCTTACTGAGTAAGCTTTCTTTGGAAAAATAATACCTGGAATCTAACAACTATCTCAGGGACTCTGGCATTGGTGACTTTGGCCACAGCGGTATTCAGTCGTCCATCCGCGACCACAAGTGCAATGATCTTTGTTGGGCATTGAGTCTTGATCAATTGGTGCCACTTGAGGATGATGACTCCGAGGGCGCTCCTAATAATGATGGCGCCAGCTCCAGCAGTCAGAGCCCCACTTCTGGAGCAGGGTCCCAGTTTGGTGCAGGTACATTATAAATGTATTCATTTGTTAACTAGCACACACTGGTTGAACATTTCAAGTTTTTCAGTGAAAAAAATGGTGAAAAGTAATTTGAGTTTTACACAAATTTTTTACTGAAAAAGTAGGTGAAAAACTTGAAAGTTTTTCATAGATTTTCACTTTCAAAGTGAAAAATTTGTGTAAAACTCAAACTACTTTTCACCATTTTTTTCACCAAAAAACTTGAAATGTTCAACCAGTGACAATACAAATAACGACGCAATCATTTTGATGAATTCTGGGTTGAAAGTGGACTCTCCAGTGTAAACTGAGGTCCCACCTTGTTGAACACTATAACAGCTATATTGTTCTATGAGAGCTATGCAGCCACTTCAGATTCCTGATTTTTTTTACGAAGTGTCACCGAAAATCGTGTCAGTGCAGAATTACCACAGCACATAATGTCTGGCACAGTTGACGGTCACATAGGGACAATTAAGGAGGTCATTCTGAGTCTTGAGGTCAAGTGAAAAGACGAAGAATTGAGAGAGAAAGAATCTGTCTTTGGCTGATTGAAAGCGTGGGAGACTGGCATCCTGCACTCGTTGTGATGTGACCCTCGTGACACTTAACCACATCCAGCCCGACTTTCTGTGCTCAAACATCCTCTACAAGCAGTATTCACAGCCCACAGACCTTCCAGGGAATCTTACCATCCCAAAGGCTCTGATTAAAGCACTTTTAGAGGAATTCCCTGGCTGGAATTCTGAAAATTTGTCCCTTCTTGACATCAGCAAAAGCAGGCGTGACTTGGATATTACCCAGGAGGTAACCACCAGAAGAACCCGGGACACAGCCTCCGAGGGTAGGTACCCTTTGGATGACCTTATTTCAGTTTTCGGACTTTGGCCAAAGCACTCTGAAAACATGTTCAGAAGGGTTAGAAAAAAAAATCCATTTTTTATTACGGTCTTTGAGTGGTCACTGGATTTGTAGTTTCCGACCAAGCTAGGTGTCCATTTGAAGACAGAAACTTGCAGCAAATAATGTTCCCATATCACTCCCAGAGGGCCCAATCCTACCCTAAAACCAAAATTTGCAGTCAATACCGTGGGAATGTCACTCGGCTAACCTCGGCTAGGAGGGTAGGTAGGTCTGGGGGGAGCTTATTTCAGTTTTCGACCCTGTGTGGCAAACTTTAAGGGTGATTACCTCTTGATATTACCCGGGCACTCCTGACTGCATTTTTATTGTCCTGACATAAATAACACAGCTGGATCTGGCCATAGCATTCATATCTTATAGGACTCACAGTGATTTGGGTATAGAAGCGGCACAACAGAGAATGGACTACATGTACTATCTACATACACAATATATATAAAAATAATAAGTACCTCTCCTGAGAATCGAACCCACGCACGGTTGATCAAAAATCGAACCGTGCCCATCCCGCGTACCCTATACTTTCTCTTCCACCTGTCCAACTCGAAAATATGGTCTTGAAAGCAGCAGGGTGTATGGCAAGTCCGGAAATTGCACGATCAGGTTTTCCGAATATCAATATTAATTCTGGACTATCAGAGGGCATCAACAATTTCTCTTCCACCTCACAAACTTAAACATGAGATTTTAAGAGCAGCATGGTGTGTGGCGCACGCGGGGCTTTCTTGACCGTTAGTGAAACTGTCACTCCGAGGTCCTCGTTCGATTCGAGGTGCTGCTCTGAGGGGTTTATTACAAATCCTTTCCCTCTTTCTCCATTTCTTGCGCTCTTCCCCCGCCTGAGTACCCTCTGGCAACACTTTCAAAGTTCTGATCGTAGAAAATCGGGACCGCATGGGAAATATCTCAACCTGAAATCTTGTGCCGCGGTGAATTTCTCTTTCACGTCACCTCCCCGAAAACGAAGTTTCAACAGCAGCATGGTGTATCACCGCATACGGGGGGTTTCTTAGTGCTCCATAGTGAAACTAGTCACCCTGAGGTCCTCGTTCGATTCGAGGTGCTGCTGTGCAATAGAAGGAAAGGCTTTTTTTTTTTTTTAATAGCTCCTTCCTTTTTCTTGCTCTGCTCCCGGAGGGTATCTTACGGTCACCCGGTGTCCTCACATCGGAGCCAGGTTAGTTCTCATCCATCAGCCGATGTCGTGAACTTCTCTTCAACTTTACCCACTCAAAAACCAAGTTCTAAAAGCAGCATGGTGTATCGCCACACACGGGGTTTCTTTATTTCGACGTTCATGAAAAAGTCGCCCCGGAGTCCTTGTTCGGTTCGAGGTGCTGCCCTGTACAAACATTTTGTCATTGTTTACTTTTACTTTTTCCTCTTCTCACTGCCAATCGAACCCCTGTCTATCTGATTCCCAGGAGACCAGAAATTCAAAATTTTGTTTGCCAAGGGCTCTTACTTCTCAGGGTTTACTACTATAATATCAGCCTGCGCTACGCTCCGTATCTTTCTTGCACCTCATTCGGAAACGAGGTCTTCGAGGCAGCATGGTGTATCGCTGCACACGGGGAGCCTTGAGGACATGGTGATCAAGTACTTATCCAAAGGTCCTTGCTCGATTCGAGGTGCTGCTGTTCTGGACAAGGATGTATTTTTTCCATGCTTTCACCTCCGTTCCCAATCCTCTTTGTTGCTGAGCAGTTTATCATTTCGGAACGATTCTCAAAGCCTGTGTTTTCTTCTCAAGCGACTGTCTGGAAATCGGAATCAATTCTTCAGCCAGTTCTGAAGTTTATCGAACCCTCACCGTAGATCTTTCACCTGATCGGAACCTTGATTTCGAAAGCAGCATGGTGTATGGCCGCACACAGGTGTTTCTTCAAGGCACTGAATTGAAAACAGTAATCCCGAGGTCCTCGTTCGATACGAGGTGCTGCTATGAAAAGGATCGGGGAAATATTTGGTTTTTGTTCTTTATGAGTTTGAACACATTCTCACAGATCGTGTCTTCGGTTCAGGCGACTGTCTGAAAACTTATCGGATCAGGCTTTCTGGAAGTCGAGGGTTAAGTTGAATCGTTTTGGCCGGCAATCGGCCGGCACCGATTACCGCACCGTGACTAGCCATTTTTCTTCGACTTCAGCAACTGAAAACCCCAGTTTTTGATAGCAGCATGGTGTATGACCGGCGCACACGGGGGTTTCTTGAAAAATTCAACATCCACGAAAAAGTCATCCCGAGGGCCTCGTTCGATTCGAGGTGCTGCTCTGAGACATATTCACCCCGTCTTCTTTTTCTTGTGAAAGCTATTTCTCTTTCACCTCACCCGTTCCAATACTAGGCTTTCAAAACAGTATGGTGTATCGCCGCACACAGGACTTCCTTGGCGTCTACAAAGAGGTCACCCCGAGGTCCTCGTTCGATTCGAGGTGCTGCTGTGAACGAGCTAAACAGAGCCTTTTCTTTTCTGGCACAACTGTACTCTTCTCGCGTAGTTTCCTCCTTCTCTTCCATCTCAACCGTTCCAAAACGAGGTTTTAAAAGCAGCGTGGTGTATCGCCGCACACGGGGGTGTCTTGTCAATGAATTCCTGCAGATGGAATACTCACCCCGAGGTCCTTGTTCGAATCGAGGTGCTGCTCTGTCCGACCGCCAGAAAAGTTTTCTTTCTTTCTTTCTTTCTGCTGGCACTGCACAATTTCCTTTTCTCTATCGGCTTGAAAGCATTCTCAAAGCCCAGACCTCCGACCGAGGAATGACAAGAAGAGTGTAAGTGAGACTCGCCCAGTCCCACTCCGTGAAGATTTCTGAGTGGGACTCGCATCAGGAGTGGGACTGGGCATAAATTATCAGTGGGACCCGTGATCCTGAGTGGGACTCAGAGTTGATCGGTGTGGGACTCAACATTTCAACAATCACAACACCCATCAGATGTGACACAATTATTAGATCAGGCAGGCGTCGGGGACGAACCAAGGATGGACTGGGCATTAGAGCATATTCGCAACCTCCAAAAACACCTAAGCGAGACGTTTGATTAAAAAAGTGATGTCTGATTCCAGAAAAGTGGTGACAGCAAAAGCGGACGGCTTGGCGGCGGCAGAGAGTAAAAAGTTGGGCTAAAAACTGGGAAATGTGTCCTACGGGGTCATTTTTCGAGGGCCCGTTAAAGACAAGACTTACAGACCTCAAAGTCATGGCCCCTCATTTTTCCCGTGAATTCTAAAGCCCGAATGAACTCAAGGACCCAAGCTGCAGTCACATCAGTCACGAATCTCGCTTAAAAGCTGCGAGTGATTCCAGAAATCTCGTCGGAGGCTGCGAATATGCTCTATTGTTATCTAGATCTCGCTGCTATCTCATTCCCATCTTGCTTCAGACTTCCACCATGTTTGAAGCAGCAGCAAGTATTTCACCGCGAGATATCAAAGCATACAGAAACTTTGTGAGTCTTCCTTTCATCTTTTCAACGCTCGTACTTGACGGTTTCCACTACGGCCAGGCATTTCCCGAGGCGCTCAGAAATCCAGCGAATGATCCCTTCTTCTGGGTGGAAAATGCCACCTCGTGGATCACATCCTTTGGCTTGCAGCTCTACCTCGAGCAGGATGATACAAGAGCACCTGCTACTTTGCTGTGGTCACCCGATGATGCTTCCACAACCCAGCTAAAAGCGTATCGGAACTATGTGCGCTAATCGTACCTTTATCTCATTGTTTCACGCTGACCTGAGTCCAAATTGTGTAGATGCTCAGCGATGAATTCAAGAATCACACATTTTTCAACCTGGAAAACACAGAGACATGGATAAATCCCCTCGCATTTCAGGTGTATATGGAATCGCATTACGGGTCCTTCGAGGAGTACCGGAGCACCCGGGAGACCCCTTTCAGCTCCCGGGCACCCTCTCGGGCTGCATCGTCGATTTCTATGGCCGGAACCCGTGCGGGTAGCTGTCCATCTATTGCTCCTTCGTCTCGGGCCAGTTCTCCATCGTCGGTCCCTCCTTCTGAGAGTCTTTCGCGTCCCCTAGTGCATTGTCTTTTGACGGCGTCGTTCAGGTTGATGATGCTGATGAGATGGCCTCTGTCGCGTTATCTGGAGATTTTTCACGCCCGTCAAGCGCTTTTTCTTTCAGCAACGGTGGCCCGATTGATGATGCCGACTTCCCCGCTGCTCCTGTTTTACCTCCACTTCCAATCGAGTCTACCACTGCTGGCGAGCCGGTTTTCGATGCGGAACCCACTGAATCTCAACCCGCATCGCACCCCATCCACAGCGACACACCTCTTCTCACCAAACCACCCAAACGCAAGGGCAAGTCTAGGAATACGTCTGAACAGATTTACATCACTCGCCAACTCAAGGTCGACAAAATACTTGATCTTTCGAAGGTACCGTCGACGTGGGATGTTCCGCGCGGCTCTGCAGTATATCGAGTTGATACCAGCAACTCGAAGGAGTTGCTGACCACAAAGAGCAGTCGCGTCTTGACACTCGACGGCTTCATCAGACAGGAGGTGAGTAGTTCTGCCATTTTTACTCTATGTTCACTGATTTCCAACACAGGACCAGGAATCCTGGCGTGGCTCCGCAGGGCATCCTGAGGGTGATGTAAAAGTCCGTGGACTGACCTCAAATCTGGAAGAGGAGCTCCTGTGTCGCCGCGCCCACCTATACTGCAATGGTGTTGACACCTGTGAATTTATTGACCCTGCACTCTTCGCTGGATGTGAGCGTTACGAGCCTGACTTCGAGGCAATGCGGGAGTTGTGGAATCACGAACTAGACGCAAATGAGCGTGAAGCCGCTTCGGCGCCTTCGATACTTGCACGGTATGTTGTATTTCATTGTGGTGCTCCGACTTGCTCAATATCTTTTTTCAGTTTTTACGCACGGATCATGAATTCAAAATGCAAAGTTGCGTGTGATGGTGTTCCTGTTCTCATTCTTCGCTCGAAAGTAGGTCATTAACCCTCCCGATTTTTCGCTTTGCTGACGCAAATTTGTAGGGACCCTCAGCGCACGGAAAGAAGTACTTTGTGGGCTGCTCCAAGTGGTCCAGAGACCAGAAATTTCAGCACAGTTACTGGCCCATCGCACCAAACATCGACGAGGCGGCATTGAAATTCGCCTTAGAAAATAACGGGCTTCTTCCGGGCGTTGCGCCCACGGTAAACGCTACATGTGTACTCACTGTCCACCGACGTGTAAAGTTGCAGAATTGTCGTGAGTGATTGCCCCAAGCAAATCTTATCTTCCACTTGTTAATCTGACCTTCACAGCGTACAGCCACATCCACAACAACCGCATGGTGCCAGCCAAAATCAAGAATCGTCCTTGCTCGGTGCAGATGATTATCTTCGTCCCCATCGATGTGTCATATAGCCATTTGGCTCTCGTGGAAGTACGCGGTCCTCACAACCATCCGGCTCATCCAAAGACAAAACCAAGCGCCGAAGATCGTCTCAAGCTCGGTAGGGCAGTTGAAGCGGCCGGTCTCACCGGTTTAACGGTTCAAAAGCTCCTCAATGGTTTGTCTATTCAACAATGATTTCGATTTCGGTATAATGATATTTATTACAGCTCCTTCGACCCTGACCGCTTATGATGGGGAACGAGTTTCGACGAGCAGCCCTGCATTTACAAACACTCGAAAGGTTCGAGACTTTATTGGTGAGAAGAAAAAGGACGCATATCCGCGTGGAATGGGTTGGGAAGGTAAATAATTCATTCTTCGTGTGTATTTGATGCCTTATACGTTACAGGAGTGCT